AAAACCAAAGTAAGAACAATGTCTCATAATACCTATTCAAGGTAATAGAAACGGCAGAGAAACCATTCATAGAGTGATGAGGTCATCTAAAGATGTTGCAGTTACGCTGCTGTTTCAAAAAAAAAAAAAACCTTAAAAAGAGAGCAGGATGGAAGTCCACAATTAAGGGGCTGCTGCTGCTGAAAAATTCTAAATTTTTGGCTCTCGTTCATCAAACCTGCCTCCACCTCCTATAGAGATGGAGGAGAAACAAAACAAGATTTAATGATCCGTAGCTAGAGCTGGAAGTTTTCACTCATTTAGGACTTGCACGAATTCCTTTATGCAATCTATTTTTGGAGTCGCTAGCTGGGATTATGATCAAGACTATAAAGACACATCAGTAGCACGGACAATGGATGACAGCCATGTTAATCTATGGTGCTGAAAAAAAACCAGGAGTTTGGTGGCACCTTTTCACACTAAAAATATGATTAAAAAGCATCTTTTCATGTGACTCAGAAAAGCTGACGCTGTTTCATAAGGTTTGATAGTCTGGAAAGGAATTTATTTATGTACTTACAGGATTTATATGGCCAACCATTTTTTTATTATCATCATTAAAGTTTATTATAAGATAAAAACACAAAAAGAAACAAAAGTTGGAACGCTAAGAAAAAGAAAGAGAAGGGTGCACAGAGAAAGAAAGAGAGAAAGAAAGATTACTGACCTCTGACCCCTTCCAGTGCAGTAAAAACCAAAAAGACCTTTTGCTTTACATTTTCCTAAAATGTCAAGCCATTTCTACGACAAAATCATCCCGACAAACCTAAAATCAAAGTTTCTTTTTTTTTTCTTCTAGTTTTGAGCAAAAGGTCCAGAAGCATTTTCCAAGTAGAAACAAAATTAGATACAAGTAATCCTTGATTTTTGACCACAAGCGAGAACAGTTTTTCCATGGTTAAGCAAGGCAATAGTTAAGTGAGCTGTGCCCAGTTTTACGACTTTTTTGTTGCTGTGGTCCTTAAGCGAAACACTACCGTTGTTAAGTGAATTATGCTGTCTATAAGCAGATCCAGCTTTCTCCATTGACTTTGCTTGCTAGAAACTGGCTGGGAAGGTCACAAATGGTGATCAAATGATCCCGGGATTCTGCAACCCATAGTAAATACATGCCCGATGCCAAGCAATCAAATTTTGGTCACGTTGTCTGTGGGGACTTACTGGTTGTAAGTCCAAGTAAGTGACTTGGAATATAGTCACTAAATCAATGTACGTTTGAGGACTACCTGTAAAGTCTTTGATTAAAACAGTCAATTTTGGCATCCTGCCAACAACATCACTTTTACCACCCGTTCTTCCATTGTGAGAGTTAGGGCATCCTTCCATCTTAAAGAGTATGGCAGACTATCCTAAACAACTCTGGGCCTCTCACCACACCAGTAAAACCAGTAACAACTATAAAACAGTAAAATGCTCAAACAGAAACGACACCCCACCCCTGTCCCCGCCTTTTAATCATGTTACTTGACTTTTGAGTATTATTAGAATTCTCACTTTCAGGACCACGGACAGGGATTTCTCCCTAATAGCGTTGGGCTGTATCCCCACTTTAATGGCATCTTCAAAACATCACCCAGCCGTCACTGAAGTGGCATAAAGCTTGTCCTCATTATTGTTATTTTCAGCACAACGATGGCCAACTGGCTCTAGCCAATACTTTAAGTTGCCAGCGGGAGAAATTACTAAGTTAAAAAATAAAATCTTCAACGCGAGCTCAGCTCCTGGTGCCTTCATCCAAGAAAGCTATTAGAGATATCCATATAGAAGCAGATAACTCTTTGCTCATTATGTTATTATGTAGTTTAATCCACTCAATAACATTTCTATGGGTAGTTTGTATCACTGATGGACATAAGCATTCCAGAACAACCTTGGATTAGTTTTGTCTAGTTTTTCTTTTCTTTTCTTTTGTCTTTTAAATATATGTCCTCCTTCAAAACCAGATTTTGAGCTGTACCCAATTCACTTCTTAAAGCTGTGCAGTCTGTTTGTGTGGTGCTCTCTCCTTGGGGTGCTCTGAGCTTGGTTGTTTGCTTGTAGATGTTTCATCACCCAGCTAGATAACATCATCAGTGCTAGAAGGAATGCTACAAGGAGTGGGGTTTGCAGAGAGGAGGAGGAGGAGGAGGAGGTGGTGGTGGTCCTTGGTATTCTCTGAGCTTGGTTGTTTGCTTGTTGACATCTCATTACCCAACTAGGTAACATCATCAGTGTTAGTGAAGGTGGAATTTGGTCCTTGTTTACATACAATAGCTGGTGGATTTAAGGGTGGTTCACCATCGTATTTTCACATTCTTTGTTCCCAAGAATCCTTCCAGAACATCTTTTGAAGATAGATCTGGCAGGGAGAAATCTCCTTGTCTCGTTGGGTCTACATCTGAAGGATTCAGAATTAATTTTTTTCTTCTTCTGAAGAGGAATCGGTTAATATTGCAGGAAGTTTTGCAGCTGTAAAAATACAAACGGCAACAAAGAATTCTAACTCCTCATTCATTTCCAGTGGGCTGTGCCTGTTTTCACAGTCCTAGATTTGGGTTTAGGATATCCCCATCCAGGTAAAAAGAGGGATAGTAATTTCCCAAGGAAGGCCGAGAGGAAAGATCAATGAAAAACAGACAAGGCGTTATGGGGTGGAATAATTGCAGACACGTGCCGTTGCATTAGTTGGAGAATTTCGATCTGCAGGATAAGGTTGCCAGAATATATTAAGCACATATGAACCAAATTCCATCCTCTTAAGTAGTTAGTGATAAAAGTCCTGTGACAGGCGGAGAGGCCAGCAAACAACCAGCTGCTTTATGGCTTCCCTTTAATAGCTGCCAGCTTAAAACTTCATAGTCCTGAGCCAGCCCAGAAAATATATCATAGCACAGAGTGGGGGAGGCTTTGCCTAGTTACAGCTCCAGATTGCAAGTCCAAATTATCCAGTGCAACTGGAAAGACAGACTGACTGAATTCTCACATCCTTTGGAGACCTGGTTTATGCTTTATGGGTAGTCCTTGACCAGGTTTGGGAGTAGAATTTCCATCGCTAAGCAAAGCAGTTGTTAAGTGAATCATACCTGATTTTAGGAACCTTTTTTGGGGGGGGCACGATTGTGGTAAAAACTCAAGGGTAATTTTATCTTTGGCCCCTTCCATTTCTACATTCTGGGCTGCATCATTTCTTCAAATGTTTCTCCCTTACCTTCTCTCCTGCCCATATAATAATAATAATAATAATAATAATAATAGTAATAATAGTAATAATAGTAATAATAGTAATAATAGTAATAATAGTAATAATAGTAATAATAATAGTAATAATAATAATAGTAATAATAACAATAGTAATAATAATAATAGTAATAATAATAATAGTAGTAGTAGTAATAATAATAATAATAGATAGGTAGACAAAATGCCAAATCCAGTCTGAACATCTGGCTGACTGTGCGATGATCCATAATAATAATAATAATATAATAATAATAATAATAGTTGGAAGGGACCTTGGAGGTCATCTAGTCGCCTTGGGTGCAATCCCAAAACAACTGGAGCACCACTTGAACACCATTGGTATTGACAAATTCACCATTAGTCAATTGCAAAAGGCGGCCTTACTAGGAACTGCTTCCATCCTGCGACGATATCTGTAATACCATCAGGCAGCCCCTGAGATATTGGAAGGCTGCTATCCTGTCCCCCCTCATCCTTCTCTTCGTTAAACTAGACATACCCAATTCCAGCAACCGTTCCTTATATGTTTTAGCCTCCAGTCCCCTAATCATCTTTGTTGCTCTTCTCTGTACTCTTTCTAGAGTCTCAACAGCTTTTTTACATCGTGGTGACCAAAACTGGATGCAGTATTCCAAGTGTGGCCTTACCAAGGCCTTGTAAAGTGATCACACTTCATGTGATCTTGATTCTATCCCTCTGTTAATGCAGCCTAGCACTGTGTTGGCTTTTTTTGGCAGCTGCAGCACACTGCTGGCTCATATTTAAGGGATTGGTGCCAAGAACTGCCAAGAATTTGTATGCTTTGGCAGTACTTCTAAATTCTCAGAAATAAATGCATTAAACTAATTAGCTCTGGGCTATGATTTATACCTTACACAGAACACGAAGCGAAAGCCAGCATTATGTCTTAGCATGTGACGTAAAACAAATCTAAAATAGATTTTCTTGGTTAAGACAAGGGTATGATGGAGCTGACATATCGTCTGCAATGCTTGGGATGACCGCTAGATGGCTGCAGAGCACCAGACCTTTCTGACTCTTTCCACTGCCCCCCAGTGTTCACATATGTTTTTGCGGCGGTGAGGATGACCTTGGCAGACAGGAGGCAGAATCTAACCCTAACCCTAACATTTGAGAACATCAGTGTAAAGACAGAACTATTTCTTCCTATCTTCAATCTGATCTCTGCCATCCTCAATTGCTCCCAAGGAGATGTTCCCCCCCCGTCTATTTCAGTCCCACGACGTCACTGGTAATATCATCTGTGATTCTCAGCGTAGGAGAAGGAGTGGAAGAACATAGGGTGGAGTTAAAAGGGGGAGTAGCCTAGTATCCCTACCTAGCCACAAGTGAACGAAGGCCAACTTTCCATGAATTCCATTGACCCTTGGCTAACTCTAAACAGATGCTAACCATTAACTGAGACAATTCTTGTGCGTAACGTGAGTAGCAATCGATCAGTTTAATTGGGCCTTCGTGTGTGGACCTGATCTTTTGCCAAATCATCATTTGGTTGGTTTTGTATGGCACCTGGTTGCATAAATGTTGCCCCTTTCCAATTGTTTATGTCCAGCCTTCTGTTCCCTGAGGATGGGCTGTCCAGCATGAGTCCGAAAGCTTGGAAGGCTAAACCTCTGGTCCTGGTGACCATATCGGATCCTGCAACTTTATCCTGGGACACGTACATTTGCCTTCGTGCACAATTTCTCTTCTTTTCTCTCTGCCTTGCATCTCTGCAGATCAACTCGACATCATTTCAATGGCAGAAACAAGCATGATGCCCGAGGAGATAGAGATGGAAATGGCAAAGATTCAAAGACTTCGGGAAGTCTTGGTCCGAAGAGAATCCGAACTGAGATTTATGTAAGTTAAGAGTAGCTTTTGTGGGACGTCGGGAATCAAATGGGACATGGAATGCTTGGGGGGAAAAAAATCTGATCAGCTGGTTAATCCAACAATCTTTCTCTGAGTCGGTAGTTGTTCTGTGAACTGCTTTTAATTCAAGGAATATTTTTTTTTAAGATTCAATCTGAATCTGATTTAATTTAAGGTATTATTTTGCATCTGTATGCAAAAACAGGCATAGCGGGGAGTCAAGGAATGATATGGAATGGAATGGAATATAGAATGGAATGGAATGGAATGGAATGGAATAGAATAGAAATACAGAATAAAATAAAATAGAATAGATGCAATGGAGAATAGAATAGAATAGAATAGAATAGAATAGAATAGAATAGAATAGAATAGAATAGAATAGAATAGAATAGAATAGAATAGAATAGAATAGAAATATAGAATAGAATAGAAATATAGAATAGAATAGAATAGAATAGAATAGAATAGAATAGAATAGAATAGAATATTGTTTATTGGCCAGGTGTGATTGGACACACAAGGAATTTTCTCCAGTGCAGAAGTTCTCAGTGTACATACAAATAACAAAGTAATATAATCATAAGATACCAATAGTAGATAGTAGAAAAGATGAGAAGGGTAATATTAATTCAGCCACACCTCATGGGTAAACAAATTCTTGAAAGACTTTCTTGGTGCCCCTTCTTGTACCAAACGAAATCAAGGTGGGGTTATTTTGAGTTTCTTTCTCACACTGTCTTCTTTCTCCGGTGAATAATCTTTTCATGAAGTCCCTTTTATTGGCCGGCTCATTTCTTTGCTATTCCCCAAGATTAGATCTGCCTTCCTTTAGAACTCGATGGTCAAGGAGGTTGACTTTTGGATAAGGTTGGGGTATTCCTGACTCAAATTGAATGTTAAGATAAAATAGCATAAACAAATTAATGAAAGGAATGGATGAAATGAGCCAATTAATGGAATGAAAGAATTAATGAAACGAAACTAACCAATTAATGAAATGAAATTAACAATTAATGAAATGACTGGGGATGGTGGTGTGCTCTCCTTTGTCGCATGTCCTAAAGAAAAGAGCAAACTGCCCAGTTATCAGTCTGGGGTGCTTTAATCTGCACTGACCATAGGGCTGGACTGGATGATCTCAGTTCTACAATGCTACCTAAAGCAGCCACGAGACCCAATTCATCGTTTTCCCCCCTTCTTTTCCCATTTCTTAGGATAGACGACATCCAGTTGTGCAAAGACATTATGACTCTTAAGAAAGAGCTGCAGAATTTAGTAGCTGTCCCAGGTAATTGCTGTGTGGATATGACTCGGAGGTGTGCAGGAACAAGTGGGAACCACCCCAAAGTGATTGAAGAGTTCCAAATTGTAGTTTGTCTAAGTTAAGCCCCATTAAATGATTTGTGAAGATGAAATCTCTCTCTCTCTCAAAAATAGGAAGAGTTCCTGGAAACTCTCTCCCTCTCCCTCTCTTTTACAAAAATGGGAAGAGTTCCTGGAAACCTTAAAAATATTTTCTCTTGTCATTTTGTGGTGGCCTTGGTTTGCAAAACACAACTCTTTATTGATTGTGCAATGAGTGAAGTGCTGGGTTTTGCAGAGGTAGTTGATATGTCACCTTCCTATACTTGCCTTATGCAACCAGAAGCAGTTTGAAGAAACATTGAGTTTCTTTTTTTTCCTTTCTTTTTTTTCTTTCTTTCTTTCTTTTTCTTTCTTTCTTTCTTTCTTTCTTTCTTTCTTTCTTTCTTTCTTTCTTTCTTTCTTTCTTTCTTTCTTTCTTTCTTTCTTTCTTTCTTTCTTTCTTTCTTTCTTTTTCTTTCTTTCTTTCTTTCTTTCTTTCTTTTCTTTCTTTTTTCCTTCCTTCCTTCCTTCCTTCCTTCTTCTTTCTTTCTTTCTTTTTCTCTTTCTTTCTCTTTTCTTCTTCTTCTTCTTCTTCTTCTTCTTCTTCTTCTTCTTCTTCTTCTTCTTCTTCTTCTTCTTCTTCTTCTTCTTCTTCTTCTTCTCTTCTCTTCTCTCTCTCTCTCTCTCTCTCTATCTATCTATCTATCTATCTATCTATCTATCTATCTATCTATCTATCTATCTATCTCTCAGAAAAAGACAAGACAAAGCTGCAGAATCAAAGAGAGGATGAATTGATCCAGAAAATCCACAAATTAGTGCAGAAAAGAGACTTTCTTGTTGATGATGCCGAAGTGGAGAGATTGAGGTAAGAGAAGTTAAGGTGAAGAACCTTCAAGCTGAATTGAACTCTTGATGATGACTTCATGGTCTTATTTATGTAGCTTTCCTGGGAAAGCAATATTGCTTTCTTCTGAGAGTTGTTAAAAAAATACCCTACTCCAATCAATTCTCTTATACTAAACCAGTCTAAACCTTATTAACATTTTTCAAGGTCAATGAGATGGCTGCCCCAGCTTTTCCTAACTTGACTCCATACAGATGGATATTAATTGATCCTTTTCTATCTTTTCCTGATAGAATTTTCTTGATGTTGGCTAGAATTTTCCAATTCCTTTTCCACCAGTCCATGGATTGTGCAATTCAATTTTTAAAAAAAACCATAACAAAACAAAGCAGAACAAAATGTTTTCTAACTTTTAACAATATGTTATTTTGTTTGGAAACAGAGAGAAGGAAGAAGACAAGGAGATAGCTGATTTCCTACGGATTAAGTTGAGACCTTTGGACAATGTTGTACAGTCTCCCACTAGTACGTTTGCATGCCTTTCCCCCCAAATTATTTAAAACAATGGTTTCTTTCATAGAGAAAAATAAACCAAAAATGTGATTTTTCTACGCTTATGACTTTCTACAAAGTGGAAAGCCAAGCGATAAGGCTTACAGTATAAACCCTGGTTTGTGGCCAATTAGAGTTACTTCCATAAACCACAGAAGCAAACAATGGCTTAGCGTATTATGGGATTGTATAATTCAAGTGGTTTCAATCTCAGCCCTTTAAGAACTGCTGCTGATCCAGATCTCAGTTACAGTTACTTACACCTCTGTGATGACTCCTACTGCTTGTCCCAAAGTAGGCGTGCCTGGCTGAGGAATTCTGGGAGTTGAAGTCCACAAGTCATAAAAGGGCCAAGTTTGAAGACCCTTGACCTAGAGAGTGCTGTAACTCTCTACGGGGGGGTTCTATGACAAATTGCCACAGCCAACTCCCCACGGCCAACTTGCCTTGGCCAACTCGCCACGCCCAACTCATTGCCGGACAATTCGCTACAGCCAACTTGCCATGAGACAACTCATTGCAAGACAAAAGTTACACTAATAACTAATATCAAAGAAATGATGAAGAAGAATCATTCAAGAAAGGATGCAAAAGGAAGGACAGAATGAAATGTGAGTGGTAAAAATTCAAATAATTTTTATATTTATTTGAAATAATGAAATAGAATTGTTAAATTGTCCCGCGGCAAGTTGGCTGCGAAGAGTTGGCCTTGCCAAGTTGGCCATGTGAGTTGGCGCAATGCATTGGCTGTGGCAAGATGTCTCCTTTCCCCTCTACGGGGCACTATATTAAGTCTAAGTGCTGTTGCTAATGCTATCATCTGGTCGATCTTTATTTGTGCATGGATAAGTAGCTGGATTCACCCACTGGTCCATGATGGTTTGCTTGGGTTAGGGTTAGGGTTCAGAAACCTGAATCTGGCAATGAATGATGCTCTCCCTTCTGACCTTGGCAGGGGTACCGACAGAGAAGCAAGCTGAGCCTCCTCCACCACCACCACCACTTCCTCCCAACAAGCCCACCATTGCCAAAACCAGCGCTGCTCTCATTAAGGATTGCTGTGGGATGACCCAGTGCGCCATCATGTAGCTCCAGCATCTCCCTCGGGCAGTGCCTTCTGCTCGACCCACTTCCCCGTTGGCCAAAAACAAAAAACCTGGTGGGCGAAGGAATCAGGACATCAAGCACCCAGATATTCTTGATCGTTGAATCTCCTGTTGTATTTCTTACAGTAACTTGTGTGCCGAAATGTGCTATTCTTGGTGACTCCTTGGTGTTGCATGGACCTCGGCGAGCATGCCCTAGGTTAAGATGAGGAGTAGACGTTAACTGTACCCAGAATGCAGAGAAGACCTGTGAGGCGTAGACGTAGACGGGGGAGTGGCTTATGGCTTGCAGGTAACATCAGGGGCCATCTGTATGTCTAGAGCTGCATCCAGACCGTCCACCCAGGCTTGATCTGGGTTGTGAGTCAACTCACATTCTGGTTTTGCACAGGATGCTAAGTCCATAAGGTAGGAAGAACAGCCAAGATGAACACTGGGCTTAGCATGCTGTGTGAATATATCTGCTACTGTAGATCTTGACCTGACGTGGTAAACCATGGTCTGAATCCAGCCGATAGGTAAATTCTGCATATGGGTAGGACCGATTCTTAGCCTAATGCCAGCTCTGAAGTAGGAACAACATGTAGCAGTTTTAATGGTCTGTTGTGCACTGGATACATCTCACACCGTCTTCCTCTAGCAGGCGGTATTTGATCGGTGGGCGAACGGAGGCGAGCACCCTCCGTGTAGCTGGATTGGGTCCTTTTCGCAATGACATGTGTGTTAATAAAAACGCTAAATAGAATAGCTAATAGTTTATCAGAAGCTGACCGCAGTCTGTTCTGTTCTGGTTTGCAGTGGCTTCTTATCCGACCGTAGGATCGCTCTCGCGCAAGGGACAATAAGTTGTGTTATTTTAAAAATCGGTCATGACTTCCAAGGTCCCAGTTCATTGTTCTGTTACAATTGGGAGGTGCAGAGCTGCAGCTGAGGAAATGACGTTGTGTTTCAATTTCAACATTTTGTTCGTTTGTCAAAGCGTAAGATACAAAAATACAAGGATAAATGAAAATAAAGGTAAAATAGGCGAGGAAAAAGGGAAGAGAGAAAAGTGTAGGGTAGAGGGGGGGGGGAAAGAAAGAAAAAGCACTGACTTCCAACTTCTTTTCGTGCAGTAGAATAAGATAATCACGTGAAAGCTCATCTTTTTAGTTTTATATAATAATATATACTAACCATTTCTAGAACATCAAACCTGTCTAATCAGCCAAACCCAAAAGCAAAGTTTCATTTTTTCCCCGCCTCAAGCAGAAAGTCCCAAAGTGGTTTCCAAACAGAAACAAAATGAATTGTAGGAAACGATTATGTTGATGATGTAGTTATCCATTCAGTTGCCTCTGACTTTTGGCATTTCCTTGACCCAGGTCTCTCTCCACATCCCATCTTACACTACTGTACTTGATTTTTTCTATGCTCTGGCTAGTGTCAGCTTTGACAGTGTCCAGCCACCATGTTCTTCGGTGGCCTGGTTTTCTTTTACCACTAACTCTTCCAAACATAATTGCTTTCTCCAATGAGTTTCCCTGCATGACACGGGCCACAATATATGAGGTGCAGTCTTGTGATTAAGTAGGAAATACAAATTGCCCATATGTTTAAATATGTAAGAAGGGGAGGAGGAGCTAGATGACCAAATGCTCATTCTTTCGTCCAAGAATCTCCAGTATTTGGAATTTCTCTAACTTTTATCTCGCTGACCTCCAGGAAGTTAACCAAGTAATACCACGATTCACGATGAGGCAGAACTTTGAACACACAACTGTTCAAACTACGGCAGATCTTGCCAGGTTGTTCTTGATTCAACCAAGCTCCTCCAACTTTTAGGGGATGCAATCCAGTAGAGGTTAGGTTGGAGACAGATCAGCCTAATACATCTATGGAGCAATCCATCTGCTTAAAATTATCTTCAAAAAGGGAGCCGGACTATATACAGCGCAAGTCGTCCTTGACCTACAACAGTTAGGACCAAAATTTCCATTGCTAAGTCAAGGTCTACCGATATATTTACTGGAAAAAAAAATGGACAGAGAAGGTCACTTGCTTGCTTGAAATTTTTATTGACAACTGCTTGGTCCCAACGCACAAAATACCACTTGACCCACAAAAGTGCCCAAACAAATTAGACAAATTTATATGCCGCATTGTCGCTCTTCACCCACCCATAGTGCATAGTTGAGGGCTGCCTTGATCGGTTTCATTTCAGAACAGTAAAGAAATCAAAATGACCAAAGTGCTAAAGTTAATTTCATCATCTTAATTTATGTTCGAATCAGTCAAGTTACATTATTTTTTCAAGCCTCTGTATGTTTTGGGTTTTTTTTTTTTAATAAAAAAACTTCATTAAATAATCTTGAGCTGTGAGAGGAAAAAAAAAAACCCTTCAAACTTATCCAAAACAGCATTGCGTAACTTTCAAACAGCAATTTAGTTCAGAATGCCACATGGAATCCATTTATGATGGGATTATTCTCTACAGATCACCTGGCAACCTCTGTATTTCAAATACAGAACACTACTGGACTTTTGATTTCTTTGGTTTTTTTTTCTCCCCCAAAAACTTGGCTCTCGCTTTTTTTTTTTTAAGATGACTTGCAATCACACCTCAGAACAGCAACGGGTTCTGCTTAGCACAACCCACAATTGTGTGTGACGAGGCCTTTGTTTTATGCAGGTTATACATAAAGCTACAGAGAGATGGTCTCACAAATACTCGAAAAACACTAGAGGGAAAGGGAAAAAAAATCTAACAACTGTTCCTATAAACCCTAGTCTGTAGAGGAACTGTAAGCCTAGCCAACATACTGTGTCGTGTCTCAGTCTCAGAAAAAAAGCTTCCATTGTTTTCTTGAGTTCGTAATGGCTATATAATTCAGAAAGGTTTAATAGATGGCTTTGTTTAAAAATCCTCTTTTAAACAAAATCCATTTTAAAAAAAACACACAACAGTACCTATAGCCATCTGGTGGTATTTCTTTCTCTCTCTTCAGTTGCTGGCTGTGAAAAACCCCAGTTTTGTTTTTCCAACCTTGTCCATTATAAAATATAATTCTTACAAAATATATATATTTTTCTGCATCCAGCCAGTGGAAACCTCAGAATAGGTTCTTTTCCTTTTGACAAGCAGTACAAAAATTTTCTCTCCTGGCAAATACAATCCATTGTAAGTACCAGATTTACCCGGGCAGGGGTATAATACCTTCGGAAGACGTTTTTAAGGTTTTTTTCTCTCTCTCTCTCTAAAAAGAAGGCAAAAGGATCCCACTGACTTCTGTTAAGGCTGGCCCTTCTTAAAAGCCAACAACTGCAACAACCACAACAACCACAGGAAAAAAAAAATACCCCCATTAAGAACTGGAAGCGAAAAATGACGACACGCAAGAGCAGCTTTCAGTACCAGGAGGAATAAAAACCAGACACCGTTAAAAAAACCTTTTTATCGATTCCAATTTAAGCTTCCCATTTATTCCACGTTTAAAACAGTTTTGCAAACAAGGTTAGGCCCCTAACCTTGGCGTTCTTACCTCCTGCTCCCGTTTCAGCACTGCGGAAGCATCATCGCCGTTTCTGTCTTAAAAAACTTCCCGTCACCTCGGGGCGATTCGTGATTTATGCATTTCGATGCATATTTTGTTTTCTTGAAATCTCAGCGCCCCCCCCCCCCGGCAAGCTCGAGGGAACAACTGCAACCCGAGGTGGTGCCTTCAAAATACCCGGCACTCAAAATGACTTTCTCTCCAATCAGCATCCACTGGCAGCACTCATAAAAGGGAAGCTTAAAACCATTTCTGACAAGTTTCCAGGACGGAACTAAATGATCACAGAAGGCCTTTAAAAGGGAGGTTTTGTACCAAACCGAGCGACTTCTCCAATGATCGGGGTTTTGGGGTGGGGTTGTTTGTTTCTTTTGGCAATAGTTAATTACAAGTCATCGGAAAAAAAAAAATTAAAATACAAAAACACACCAGTTCCCAAGTTTTGCCCTTACAAAGCTAACTGTGAAAGACCCCACCGCGTATTCCCATCTAAGTGACCGTTTTTAAAAAGGCTCTCCGAAAGGCCGGTTCCGCACGACACAATTAATGCACTGCATTGTTATTTCCCCCCCCCCCCGACAACAAAATCGCAAATTAGAAACAGCCCGAGAGGTGTAGAAATTGACATCGCCCTTGGGGAATCAGAAACTTAAAAAATCCGTTCTCTTTGTCAAGGCTTCTCGCATCTGCTTTTTGTCGATACGGGACCGAATAAAAAAGGGTAAAATGTTTAGATCGCCCTTAACAAATATTTGAAGTCCCAACAATAATAATTATAATTATAATAATAATAAAAAAAAACCCTGCCCAGCTAACTTCGGTTGAGATTGTGCAACTTTTGCACAGAAGGCAGTCACAGTGACAAAGGAAACGGATCGGTGGCTAGCCCCTTCCAGAAAGTGATTAAAAATTAAAAAAAAAAAAAAAGTATAGCCGACTTTATTTCCTGTGTAGTCTTAACAATACGATGCTTCTCACACCGGGAGGAGATTTAAAGCTTGGTTACGGGTGCGAAGGAGAAGTTGGCGGCCAATTTGACTCGGCTCTTGGGCTGCTTCCGAGCTGGACTGTCCGTGGCTTCTCTGCATCCCGGATGTTCGGATGCCAAACAGGAAGTAGCTGAGATATTTTCCATAGCTTCGGAGAAGTGACCGATTTCTTTATGAGCTTCTGAATGACCAGCGGCCTTCTCCTCTTCAGGATCTATTGTAATCTCTGAAACAAAAAGGAGGACTGTTTAGTTTTGAAAAAGTAAGGTAAAGGTAAAGGAGTCGCTGAGGATTTTATTCTGTTAGTCGTTGCCGACTAGAAGGAGCGATGGTCACCTCCGTTTCAAGGTCATTGAGCCAACGCTGCCCGAAGCAGTTTCTGTGGTCATTTGCCCGGCATGAAATACCGTCATGGTTCCGATTAGGGGAATACTCCAAAGAACCTCGAGGCATTGTTTAAAGTCTCTTTATTAGTATAGCACCCTTCCAGGTGAACATGGTGGATGCCAAGATCTGAATTCCCCTCCCCTGAGCACATAATACTCAAGCACAATTCCCTCCTCCAATTAGCAGTCATAAATCACGTTCTCCAATCCGTTTGAAGGGCAAAGTTTCCCTTCCCTTCTGTAGCCTGGGGTTTCTTATCTTAACTAATCCCCACACACATTCTTTCTCCTCCCCTCCCAGCACCATCTAATTTAACTCTAAAAGTATACCACACAGCTTATACAGAGAGGGGCTGCCTCTTCATATTTTGTCAAAGCAAGAACCTCCAATGTTAGCAGCGTTGACAGTTACCTTCCCACCGAAGTGGTACCTCTTTATCTACTCGCATTTGCAGGCTTTTGAACGGCTAGGCTGGCAGGAGCTGGGCCGAGGACGGGAGCTCCACCCTGTCGCATGTTGCTCGGGTCTCAAACCTGAGCTGTTAGCTTTTCAGCCGACAAGCTATTTTATTGATTCTTCAGACATCCGTATGACTTTAAGGGTAAACACAACACATTCCCATTTCACAATCCCTTGGACTGCAAGGAGATCAAATCAGGGACCAACCTGAGTCAGTCACCAGAAAGAGAAACTTAAGTCTTCCAATTTTTTGCACTCATGCTTAGGAGACTAAACGTCTGGTCCCGGTGACCGGCTCAGACGAGATTCTGCAACATTATCCTGGGATACGAATATTTGCCTTCGTTTGTGAGATCCAATCAATCACTCCTAAAGGAAAGCAACCCTGACTGTCGGGACTTCTGCTACTATTGAGTGGAGCCAGGTTTTTTTAAAGGGAACAGTAACCTTTACCAGAAGGGGTCGGTAAGTGCTCTTCGAAACGGATGAGATCTGTTGATTCAAGAACCACTGGATCTGGTCTCAGCTGTGGGGAGGGAAGGCAGGAAGGGACCGGCTGGCATAAAAGATCAACAGGTGAGGCATTGGTGAGGCAAAGCAACTCTTCCTCGGCTTGACTGGAGACTGCAGAGGAGGAAGAAAATTAAGGCAACTCCTTAGAAACTCACAAGAGCAGTGAATGACTCAACGTTAAAGCAAGCTTGCAAAATCACACTTGTTTCTTTAGTAAGGTCTAGTGGTGAAGACATCCTGCTAGCGAGTGGGAGACCTGAATTCTAGTCTCATCTTAGCCACGAAAGCCAGCTGGGTGACCTTAGGCCAGTCAGTCACCCTCTGTCAGCCCAAACCCAGGAAAGCGTGTTGGATACGTTCGCTGCCTTGATTTACAGTATTTGCAAAGAAAGGCGGGTCACAAATAGATAAAAAAGAAGAGAATGGGCTGGGAGATGAAAATGGAAAAAAGACAAGCGAAACACAACTATAATTCTGGTCCATGGCTTCTTCTCTCTTCTCTCTTAGATAACAATTATTTCTGAATAAATATTATTAGATATTATTATTATTATTATTATTATTATTATTATTATTATTATTATTATTATTATTATTATTATTATTATTATCTACTAGCTGTACCCGGCCACGCGTTGCTGTGGCTCAGTCTGGTAAAAGCGTGTGTTGCTTTTACGTCCAACAGATGGCGCTGTTTTTCAAAAAAAGCATGTTTTTACCTGTCACAGGTGTGCCATCTATATAATAGTAGGTATATAAAAACACGCGCGTATTCGAACGCAACATTGTGTCAAAATTTCAAAGCAATCGGTGAAGAACTTTCGGAGATTTAAGATTTTGAACAAACGAACATTTACATTTTTATTTATATAGATATAGATTATTATCTATTATCTTTTTTGGCTTATCTGTTCAAGGCCAAAAGACTCAACATTTGCTAGGTGCCAAATAGCGGCCAGCGATCAATCAGTTACCGATGTTGGGTGCTTCCAGGATTAAATCTAAGGATCTGTCCACTCCTGCTGCCTTTGTGGATTGTCCATCGCCATCGGCCAGTTCATTTTCGTAACTTTCATCAGCCAGGGGAAGACTGGGAGAGTTGAAGCGAGCTAAAGAAGGGAGGAGATTAGCAACTGTTCTGTCTGACAGACAGCCCCCCCCAAAAGGAGGAAAGTTAACCCCATTACTTACTTTTCATGTCATTCTTCAGAACAACAATCCTCTTATGACCGTGGCCTTTTATCCATACTACCTAATTAAAGGCAAAGAAGACGACAGGTGAGATGCAAGTTAAGATGAACCTAGGTAAGCTTCTTCCTGCCTTAAAGATCTTCTTATGCGCAGCATTCCTGCAATCTTCCCTTCTTTGTTAATTGCAATTGGAGAATAGCTTGACTCCCTCTTCTTTGGGGCAGCCCCTGAGATATTGGAACACTGCAATCATGTTCCCCCTCGTCCTTAATGAAGAGAAGGACATGATAGCAGTCTTCCAATATCTCAGGGGCTGCCCCAAAGAAGAGGGAGTCAAGCTATTCTCCAAAGCGCCTGAAGGCAGGACAAGAAGCAACGGATGGAAACTAATCAAGGAGAGAAGCAACCTGGAATTCCAATATCTCAGGGGCTGCCCCAAAGAAGAGGGAGTCAAGCTCTTCTCCAAAGCGCCTGAAGGCAGGACAAGAAGCAACGGATGGAAACTAACCAAGGAGAGAAGCAACCTAGAACTGAGGAGAAACTTCCTGACAGTTAGAACAATTAACCAGTGGAACAACCTGCCTCCAGAAGCGGTGAATGCTCCAACACTGAAAGTTTTTAAGAAGAGACTGGACAGCCATTTGTCTGAAATGGTATAGGGTTTCCTGCCTGAGCAGGGGGCTGGACTAGATGACCTCCAAGGTCCCTTTCAACTTTATTATTATTATCATTACTCCAACTTGGACTGGATGAGTTCCACGAAAACATTGGGAAATTAGCCCAAATCACAATTTCATGGCATTATAAAGCTAGATGGCAGATGCTGCTGTGCCCCAGTTTAATACCAGCCGTCTTTGATAGCAACAGAAAATTTCAGCTCAGTTGTGATCGTAAGTCGAGCACTGCCTGTATAGGTCTGCAAATAAATGCATGAATAAAGCAAGCTATTCTTTTCTGAAAAAAACAACAACGGATGACAACTTTTAACAAAAAGCATTTGAAAACAAAGGCCCCTGAAACAATACAACTGCCATAACGCCATGAGTTTCCTTACTGAGAGTTTTAATCACAGACTTCTGAAAGGCCCACGGTCTTCACTTTATCGTCTATGAACTTTACAGGTAAGATATAAAGCTATAAAATGATATAAAGCTATAAAATGAACATTTTCAGGGAGAACGTCAAGCTTTTGGCTAAGAGGATGATGGGCCCAATTACGACATCATCGGAAAAATAACTTATTTAATTTCTCACCATGTTATTCTAAGTGACAATAGGGCGGCCAGGGGTCTACGGGCACGTCTGGTTACGACTACTATGGAAAGCTACAATTTGGAACGTAAGAATCCCGCACGTTTTAAAAGAAAAGAGAGAAGTAGTAGCTACAAACCGATGGAATTGCCCCTAGAAGTTCCTCAAGGTTATTGTAGCCATATGTGTTGGGATGAAGTTCTTCTCCTGTGAATTTGCTGTAGGCTGTTGAGAACTCGTGGAGGAAGATCTGTTGGTAATGGTAGGTGTGAAGCAACATCCTCACTTTCTTGGCAAACACATAAAGATCTGTAAGCTTCACATATTCTGCACTGCCATCAATAAAAACCTGTAAGGGGAACAAAAAGGACTTCCATGTAAGTCGTCCTTCTGCTTTCACAAATGGAGGAATATTCTTGAATAAGTAGAGGATGCAATCTACTTAGAAACCAAAAGATTCCATTCTTGACCTGGTGTCACACCATCCAGATGTGGCTTGTGGTCACCTGGACTGTGGAGTCCTTATTGCTCTCTGGGCTTGGTTGCTTTCTTCCAGATGTTTCACTACCCAACTAAGTAACATCATCAGTACTGGTGATGCTACCTAGTTGGGTAATGCAACGTCTGCCAGAAAACCACCAAGCTCAGAGAGCACCAAGGACCCCACAGTTCAACCCTCTCTTCTATCCCCACCTGGATCCCACAACTGTGGGTTATGATCCATGCTGAGGTCACACTACTCCTAGGAACGTTGGCACCATCCATGCCAACCTCAAAAGACTTCCAAGGAGATCGGAAGAGTTTGTATCAAAAAGAGAAAGGGGTGGCTGGGATGTTTTGACTTTGAAAAGGGTTGCACAGCTCCAGTCTTAAAAAATAAAAATAAATCACAGCCCTAGTATTCCAATTCCAACTCATCTGTTAGGCTGGAGAATGGCTAGGTCTATATATAGAGAAAAGTAGACAAGTGAAAAGGTAACTATGAGGGATTGGAGACCACACTGAGCTTTGGTCTCCATAGCCTCTGTGTTAAGAGGTCTTCCTCACCTCGATAAAATAAGGCACGCTCATCAGAAGCTCGATAAAGGTCATGAAGCCATATTCACATGGGTTGAGGACAGCCCCCTGGGCGGCCTCGTAACGCCTTTTAAGCTCCTGCACAGAAACCACAGTGGCTTCATCCAAGGTCATGAGAAGCACCAGAAGATGCGAAGTGAGCGTCCGGAGGGATTTTTTATTGATCAGTTGAAGCTGTTTCCCGGATTCTACATGGACCACCTGGAGGAGTTGAAAGAAGAGAAGAATCAGCCTTCTACCCTATGGACTACAAATCCCATAACTGCCAGAGCTACGGCAGTTGGAAATTCTGGAAGGAGGACAGGAGATTGGGGAAGATAGCCATCCCCATCATTTAGAATTCTAGAAGGAAAATCTCACAAGGTGTTTTGAGTTGCTCAGCCCTGGCGTTTCCACGTGGTTTGGATTCTCCCTTGCTCGGCCGACCCTACCTCCCCCATTAAGACCACCATCGCGGTCGTTTTTCCTCACGCGGCACCTGAAAACCCACCTTGATGACATGGCAAAGCTTCTGCACCAGGGCTGGAACGGAGCCAACGTCGTAGTCCTGGAGACGCAAAGGGTAGCCGAACGTTTTAGCGTATTCGGCAAGGACGTCTGCCATCATGAGACATTTATCCTTCTGGGAACGGAGCAGCTTCACCACCTGAGCAGCTAAAGCTTTGACTTGTTCCGTCTCGGTTAGCATTAGGATTTTCTCCTCGCCGCATTCCAAGACCTGGAGATGAAGGTCAGCTTGGTTATTTAAGAGCGACTGGAGAAGGCAGTGCTAGAATATTGAGAGCAACTGTAGGATCCAAAACTCGGTAAGTTTTTTCTTTCAAAAGCCATGGAAGACAAAAATAGAAAATGTCTCCCTTGAATACAGGTAGTCCTCATTTAGCGTCCCTAATCCTACACCCAGAACAAGCAGATTATGAAGAGTCACCTAGAACATTATCATCATGCACATTCTGCGCACATTGGCTACCCCTGCATTGAGTTATTCTAAACACCCTTGTTATCACACAATCCACATGTGTTTCAGTAATGTGAAATGCAGTTCTTTTGTGACTACGTAGGGATTCTAGGTTGATTCCCTTTTTTACTCCACCCCCCAAAGTTCTGCCATCCCTTCTCTTACAATTGCCTACCTGCAAGACGTCGGGTATGGCTTCAAAAAGTTCAAGCAGTTTGGTAAATCCGTAGTGTGCAAGTTTGCACTGGCGCCCAAAGTGATGGTGATAGCACGGGATGAATTTGTTGAAGGGCATACGGAAATAGGGCTGGTGGCGCAGCAAATCAATCACTTCTTTGCAGAACTGTTTCGTCCTTTCCATTTCTTCCTTGGTGCGTTCTGAAGATGGAAAAGGAGCATCTCTCTAGCAACGTTTATTAAAGTGTGGTCTGAGGACACCCCCCCCCCCCCGTTGTTCCCTCCAAGCTGCCCTCGGGGCCCCGCAAAAAATCAAATTTATTTATTTGTATTCCACTCTCGTTATTTTTATAAATAACTCAAGGGGGTGAGCATATGTCATACTTCTTCCTCTTCTTTTCACCCCCCCCCCCATAACTGTGTGGTGGGTTGAGGGGGAGAAATTGACTGGCCCAAAATTACCAAGCTGGCTTTCATGGCTAAGGTAGGATTCGAACTCGCAATCTCCTGACGATTGGATCAAAGTCACCCGACCGGCTTTCGTGCCGAAGATGGGACCAGAACTCGCTGTCTTTCTAGAACAGTGGTTCTCAACCTGTGGGTTAGGACCCCATTTGGGGTCGATCGACCATTTCATGGGGGTCGCCATGCAAGGCTGTCCGCCATTTTTTTTGTCCACCATTTTTTTTCCCCTTTTCCGGTGGGTGCCTTACCTCCCTTGGGCTGGGCCAGCTGGTGGTCGGCCTGCTCTGTCTCTGCCGCTTGTCAGCTACGCCTCGGCCAGCGCAGGGGGCGGAACCACGCATGTGCGGCGCTCCCGGGCCGGGAAAGTCCTCGACTTACGACCGGTTGGGTAGTCCTTGACTTACAACCGGTTTAGTCCTCGACTTACGACCGGTTTAGTCCTCGACTTACGACCGGTCGGGGTCGCGGCATTAAAAAGGTTGAGAACCACTGTTCTAGAACACCTTAACAAAAGTTATTTGCCAGGTGCTGAAGACATTTTCAAAGATTTAAGTCTCTCTCTCTCTCTCTCTCTCCTAGCGTTTCAGGGGTTCATTCATTTCCCATTTTCATTCATTGACTTTCTTTTGGAATGATTTATTGAGCAAAAGAAAAAGAAAAGGGGTGTGGGTGGGTTTGGAGGATGGGGTGGAGGTCACGAGAATTCCCGCAACTGAATTCTTTTCTCTCTAACAGTCAATCTATTCCGAAATCCATTAGGGTGGAAATAGCTTTATCTTCTCACTAGCTACAGTCCTAGTCAATGGAGACAGTAAATAAACCTCAGCAATCAATAAGTAGCAGTCTGCCCAGGAACCAGCAAAATGGGCAATCTTTTTTTCCTGATAACTCAGCTGGGGATTTACACAGCTGTCTCCTGGATCTTTACCACTCTTGAGAATATAGCAACTTCTCCTCTGATGTCTCATCACAATAGAGGTAGTCATAAAAACGGTCCTAAGTCACTTTCTTCAGTGCTGTTGTAACCCTGAATGGTCACTAAACGAACTACCTGTGTCCACCTTGTTTGGCAGGCAACGTTGAGCGAGATAAGACACAAGAATTTTCCTGAGGTTTTCAGCGACCACAACATACCTCTCTTGGGGATACAAATGACCATTTCGTTGTCTTGCAGCGACAAAGAAATGGTGGTGTCAGGAATTTCGGATATCAGATCAACCAATTCACACACTCCGTATTCCGTGACATCCCAGTCTTTCGAAAAACACCTGCAAGATGAATCACTCAGAAAACACTTGGGGAAAAAAACCAACACACTGCCTTAAGATCGAACCGTAGAACTAGCCACACAAACACAAAACTGAAGCTTTCTACTTGCCCGTGGCAAGCCTCTGCAGGAAATCAAAAGGAAAGCAAAATATTTTTTTGAGGTTTAAACCCAGTAGTGGGAAAAATATTTTTGCAATGTAATAATCGTTGGTCAAGCTACGTATTTACTGGAATGCTGTAAGGTATTTCTGTAAATTTTGACTTTAGTGTACATGTGGTTAATGCCTCTGGGTTAAAAATCCCAGAGTGATGATGTTAGGGTAGTTTGATGGAAATGATTATATAAAAAAACACCCCACAGATATATTTAGGAAGAGACATACAAACACACACCCCCCAGATTGGCTCATTTCTGGCGTTCCATCTTTGACAGCAGCCAAATTTTAAAATCAACTCATTTCCATTTTTATTCTATAAACCTTTAAACCTGGAGGATTTTGCTGCTGCCTTTTAGATGATTTTAATTCAGAGACAAAGAAATCTGTGTCTCCCTTTCCGTGAAAATATATGACTTGCTTTAAACCCCCAAGCTGCTAAATTAAAAACAAAACACACACACACACACACACAACGCAGATATTTTTACATTTGCAGTTGGAAATCTAAAATGATGCGTTGGCACAGCTCTGCATACCTACCAGTGATAAGCATGTAAGAATTCTTTGACTACAACTCGCTTACTGGCCTGGGACTTCAGGAGTTTTAGTAAGTCTTGAGTGAATCGCTTCACTTGAGCCCTGTGGGTTAAGGTTAACAAGCGCTTGGTTCCTATCCCGAGAATCTGAGAAGTAGAAGAAAAAAAAGTTTGCACGTAGATCTACGGCGAAATCTGAGCGCTCGTCCATCAAGTTATATTTCTCTCGATTGGCGTGAAGGGCTGGGACCAACATCTATAGACCAAACTCTACAGAGCTGGGCAAGACCAAGTCGACGGGCACTACAAGGAGAGCTCAATTTTCGATCGCAATTTGGACTAGAATTTTTGTTGCAAAGCAGGTGAGTGTTCACGCTCAGCTAGCTAGAGATGCTTTTTCATGTTTCTCATGATGCCAGCCCCCTTTCAAAGCCAGCTCTTGGGAGGCTAACATCGCTGGCAAGGAAGCAGAACGTCTGAACTCACCTGCAGGACGTGAGGCACCGATTCCAGCAGCTCTATTAACTTGGAATAGCCATAGTCCGACACACGGCATTGTTTGGCAAAATGGTGGTGGTACATGGGGATGAACTTGTTGACGGACATAATGCAGGAGGGCTGGTTTTTCAGGAGATCAATCACTTCTCTACTGAACTGGATGAGTTGTGGGTTGCCCACGGGGCTCTTTGAACGCAACAGCCAAGGCTCTGGAGTAGAAGAAAGAAGATTCCCCACCCAAGAAGGCATCTTTATTGGGAGGAACGCACGAGAAGGCAATACAAATCACTGTCAAAGAGCAGAAATTGGAGGAAGTACCCCATTGGTAAGACTAACTGTAGGAGGAAAGGCAGAGCCTGGGAGAGGAGTCAAGAGAGGAATCAGCCTGGGATCATTATGTTCCCACAAGCGGTCCGTTGAATTCCGTTGACTCTTAACTAACACCAATTTAGTGCTGACTGTTAAGTTGACTAGATTCTCGTCTATAGGCATCAGCAACAAAACTGAAAACCAACATGTGGTCCTGATTCTTTGTGCCTGTTCAAGACACTAATCCCATTTATTGGAAGTGGGAAAACGGAAAAGAATAATCTGACGTGGGAGTAAATTACCCTGTTCTTTTCAATCTCAGAGGGTTGTTGCTGTGGGGAAAATAGGAAGACGTGTTGGACATCTCAGGTGGTTTGTAAAAGCAATAAAGGCAGGATACAAATGAACACAAACAAAATGTCGGTCAAACATGTTCACGGTTGCCATGACAATCTTGGTAGGCTGGGAAGAAAAAAACCATCTAGGTGGGAAGTCTCCTGCTTCACAGGTTGTCTGTGCCAATTCAGACAACAGGGGAGAAAAGGAACGAACGATCCAGGTCAGGCAGCTAACTAAGACAGCAACCGAGGAATAATATAAAATACCTGTGGCAGGAGGAGGTGGTTTATTATGTATCCACTTGACAACTTTGATGCCATTTTGCGCGATAGCAATATTAACACCAGGAACACAGGAGATAAGATGCTCCAGAGGAATCCCTCCATGGCCTTCCTGAACCATTTCTAGACTGTTAAATTCTGAAGCATAACAGTCTTGGAAACTGTAAAAAAAAAGGGGTAGGAGGGGGAAGTGAACATAAAAGAATTAGCTCAACGCTTATAGGGCCGTTTCTATTTCTCTGCCTGTCAACAAACTTTGTGCGACTACTGGAGATGAAACACAAACAGTCCCCTTTCGTATTTTCTAATCATAACAGGCAGTGGGGTGACTTTGATTTCATCCTAATTGTAGCTATAATGGGTTACTAAAAACCAGTAAGGATCCCGATCGTGGGCACTGCGAAGCCACATCAGTTCTGAATATTCTATGATTAATTGGAAGAGTTGGATGCCTCTCAACCCTTTGGGTGTCAGAGCAATGGTTTACCTGAGTAGTGGTACTGTCCCCTCGTGGGTCTGTAACAAGCTATGAACTTGAGGAGCAAATGCCTTCAGGGAATGAAGCACAAAGGGAATTTTGTAGGAGTCAGGATCAAAGTCGTGCTCGCTAAAAACCAACGACAAAGTTAGGTTTTATTGGAAGCCGAGCAAAGAAAATCTGCCTATATAACTTTACCCACTACCGCCCACAGCTTACATGTTCAATGCTTGAAGCTTTATTTTTCCCAACTTCTACAATAACTGGAAAGAATCCAAACCAGACTTATTTTTCTACCATAAAGTGTAAGAGGTTCAATCAAAAATTCTTTCTCCTAGTATAGGTAGTTCCCCGATTAATGGCTTTTCATAGCTCCAGGGCGACTGACGACCCAGATTTGAAGTTCCGATGGTCGTCCATCGGACTGCCCCCCTGCAGCCACATGATCCCATTTTGGGGGGTGAGCAACTGGCCCCTATTTATGGCTGCTTGCAGAGTTCCACTGTCGTGTGAATGCAATTTACGATGTTTCTACTGGAAACTGGCTTTTACTTCCAGTTTATGGCAAAAAAAAAAGAAAAAGGCCCGCTGTGGACAATGGAATTGCTTATTGACTGTAACATTAGCTTAATGATGGTTGGTGATTCCCTTAAAAAACTGCAAAAAAGGTCATCAAATCAAATTGTAAAATTAAGCAATCTAGTAGTGACTTGCTTAACAAGCAGCATGAATTTACAGCCATAATTCCAGGCTCAGTTGGTCGTAAGTCAAGGATTTCCTGCATGCTGAAGAGTGGATTTAATCCATGTTGGTTTGACAATATCCACATCTACGAAAGGAGGGAAATGGATCTAAGATCAGTAGCAAAGCATTTACTTTGCACATATAAAGTCCCAGCCTTTCTAAGTTCTGTTGGAAGAAGCACTAAATGGTTCTAAAAAGCTGTGGCGGCGCAGTGGTTAAAATGCAGCATTGCAGGCTGACTCTGCCCACTGCCAGCAGTTCGATCCCGACCGGTTCACAGTTGACTCAGCCTTCCATCCTTCCGAGGTCGGTAAAATGAGGACTCAGATTGTTGGGGGGCAATAGGCTGACTCTGTAAACCCCTTAGAGAGTGCTGTAAAGCATTATGAAGCGGTATATAAGTCTAAGTGCTATTGCTTTTGCTAAACCCAACAAACTCAATGGCGGACAACGTCCTATGCTCGTAGGGACTTACTCTGCTTGGAAAACCAGCCAAAAACCCAGTTATTTCAAAGGATTTCCAAGAGAATAAAACCCACCAGTTCTGCCTTAAAGACCCTGACTCAGAAACCAATTTAATCAAGTGTAACTTTCTGGGCTATTCGGTTTTGATGGCAGAGCTTGACTGCCGAGAAGGGGAAGCAAATTTACCTGAAGTCTTTGTTCACACAATGCCGTTTGCAGACAGGCTCGTGATATTCCAGTTCTTCAAAGATGACGGGGCTGCAGTTAGCAGAGGAGCCATCGTGCGATTGCGAAGATCCTAACGGGCTCTGCCTCGCTTGGCTGCTGGGTAAGAGGCAAAGCAGCCGACCGTTGCCTTGATCACGGATCGCTAGTAGGTCTGTTAACTTGTGCAAGTCCGACACATTCAGCTTGTGTCCGAACCTAGAAACCAGAAGCGGAAATGGCTCAGTGAAATGAAAAAAGGCAAAAGAAGCAATTTGCAGCTCTTACAGACATCCTGGAATAGCAGGGATTAAATCCCGGATCGAGGTGACCGCAAACAGCAAGTCTGGAGTTGGTCGGAATCGGCAGCCTTGCGGGCGAAATTTCCCACTTACTTTTTCTCGTAAATCTCGGTGAATTTGGAAAGGGGGAGGCAGCAGGCTGGAGCGTCCTGAAGAATAGATACTGCTTCTGAACTGTAAAAAGAGAGAGCACGTCAAGAAACAGCAGCATTGGGCATCGCTGAATTCTTTCTTTGCAGAATTGTGAGACTGTCCTTGAAAGCAACTAGATTTACAAGGAGCAAAGATTCTTTATGAGCCTCAATAGGCCAAGTCCGTGAGCGAAACAGATATTTAAAAAGGGCCAAAGATCGACTAAATCTTATTTCCAATATGCTCTAAAGGTTGTCCGGGCAGAGCTAATTCGGTGTAGCGGTTAAGGCACCAGACTAAAAACCCAGAAACGGTGAGTTCTAGTCCTGCCTTAAGGCAGAGAGGAGCCTGCTGGATGACTTGGGGCCAGTCTCTCTTTCTCAGCCCTTAGGAAGGAGACAATGACAAACCGCTTCTGAAAAACCATGCTAAGAAAACAGCGGGGAGCGATCCAGGCAGTCTCCAAGAATCGGGACGTGATAAACGAAAGAAAGAAAGAAAAAAAGGCCGACCTACAAAGTAAAACCGCGCCGTTGTAACTCTGAACGGCCACTAAACAAATGGTTGTAAGTTGAGGACTACCTGTGTTGCTTATTTCCTATCTCCTCCATCCCAAAAGAACGAGACTGCTTAACGAGACTGCTTCCTTTTTTTGTAATCCCCCAGGCAAAATCAGGCCCCCGTTTTCTCAAATTATCCCTCTAGTCCAGAAGCCCCCAAACTTTTGGGCACCAGGGATCGGTTCCGTGGAGAGAGGTTTTTCCACAGACTGGAGGGGAGTGTGGTTTTGCGTGCTGCCTGCATCCTGCCGATGGGGCTTTGCTTGTTTGTGCGGACTGGTTGCTGGCATGCCGCGGACCGGTGCTGATCCACAGACCGGGGATTGGGGACCCCTACTCTAATCCACAGAATATTTTTAGTTCAGAGATATTAAGTGCTATAGTATTATAGTGGCTGTCGTTTTGTTGACCCGGACTTAAGAGGACAGTATCAATTGTGAATACGTGCAGATGGCCCCGCTGTCGCTGGCCACTTGCAGAACCATGAATGCAAGGTCATAAAAGGACAGCAAAGGAAACACCCAATATCCCAACCCACCTGGGAACATATGGTGTCTTTGGGGAAACACCCCAAAAGGGCACATTTTTAGCTACTTCTGCTTTCTCCCTTCTTATCTACAGTGTGCCAGCCTTAAAGGGCAAAGTCTTTATCTTATGTGTGCCAGCTTGGCTGGGTGAATGGCTTATGTAATCAAAGAAGGTATAAAAATAAGGCTTTTCTGATATTTGGGGCTTTTTCTCTCTTTTAGAGAAGCCCGTTATTTGTTCAGCTGAATAAAAACGTAAAGCTCGAAGGCAACTTCGGGTTCCCTGTATTTTTTTTTTTTATCAAACAAAACCTCAGACCCTGCACAGCAGTTTTACCTAATCAGTGCCAGACATTTGCTGGCAGCTCCTGTGGCTAATGAGACCTGGATCCTCTTGTTACCAATTTTGTATCTGTGCAAGCTGTTGACAGCAGTGATGGCCTCTTGGAGATTCTCCATCTGCACAACAGCCTTCAACTGGTAGTCAGTGTGAGGACTAAGTTCCACGTTCTTTACCTGATTTTTTTTTAAAAAAGACGAAAATCGTATCAAAAGAAAGTAAAATTGGAGGCGAGTACGATCGTCAAGGTGGAATTAAAGCAATTTTGTAACTCACGTACTTACGGAGCTACTAAAACCGCCAGGGTTGTTGGGCTTATATATTCTAAAATTCTAAAGCAAGCAAAACAATTTTAAAAGACGTTTCGACAATTAAAAACACCCACACCGAAAGTTAAGTATAAACAGCGGCCTTGTAAGATGGGTGGGATTGTTTACCTTGCCGTGCTTAGTGAAGGTATCCTGCAAAGATTGTTGAAGTTCTTTTCGGGAGAGCCGGTAATCCAGATTACTAATCTGAATGTCTGCTCCATTTGCAAAGGGATCTGGGCAGTCTGCATGGCTGGAAGAATTGGTGACGTTCAAAGCAAGCGGAGAAGACCGGTTGGAAACGCTTGGAGACACGCTCCTTGCGGCCGAGGGGAGGAAAGAGAACCTGGAATCATTCATTCTGTAGTATACAGGTAGTCCTCGACGTACAACCGCAATTGAGCCCAAGATTCATGTTGCTGAGTGAGTATTTTGTTAAGTCAGTTTTGCCCCATTTTACGACTTTCCTTGCCACTGTCATGGTTCCGACAGACGAAACTCTTTATTTTGAGTAGCATAACATCGAAACTGAATTCCCCTCCCCTGAGCACATAGTATCAAAACACAATTTCCTCCTCCAATTAACAGTCATAAATCACATTCCCCAATTAGCTTGAAACACGGGCTTCCTCTCCAGTTCTCCAGCCCGCCAATTCCTTATCAGCTCTGGTTACAATAACCTTGATTCTCGCGCTAGGTTTGGTGTTGTTATGTCTAGCTAGACTCTCCTTCACATCCCCCTTCCCAGAAAAAAAAAGGAAAGAAATTGGCTTTGGACCTATTGGCTCGATTACAGTCGTAACTTGAGGATGACCTGTATATTAAAATACAGTATATTAATGACACTTCCTTCAAAATTCTTGGGTCAACATCTCTTAAGGGTTTTTTTTGGTGGGGGGAGGGGTTTTTTTTAAAGTTATGAATTCCGTGCAGAAGCCACAGGCCCCCTTTCAATACATGTTGTGGCCATGGACCCTCAAGATTTAAATCGTAACGTTTCTTCAAGCCTTCGCGGACCCCCCAGTGATGACCTCGCGGCTCCCCCCCAGGGGTCTGCAAAGCACAGGTTGAGAACCATTGCTCTGGGGTCGCAATACTGGAGGCTCTACAGATGGCACGCGGTTTTGTCCTAGCACACACTAAATCGGGGGTCTTCAAACTTGGCCCTTTGATGACTTGTGGACTTCAACTCCCAGAATTCCTCAGCCAGCAGTCCACAAGTCATCAAAGGGCCAGGTTTGAAGACCCCTGCACTAAATAGAAATCAAATGTGGCGTTCCTCTCTAAAAAAAAAACAGTGCACAGCCTTGTGACGCAATGACACCTACCTTGATGACCAACAACTCTGAGAGATGAGAATGGGACTGTGCTGTCTGGAGGCCGTCAGCATGCTGAAAGCTGAAGGAAAGCTGACCTGGAAGGCGTTCTCCTTCTCCTTCTTGTCCACTGGGGAACTGTTGATGCTTCTGGCTGCCACCATCTCTTTCCTGGGCGAAGGAAAAAGGCTTAATTAAGGCCTCACCCTGACAGAGCCTTTGACGAATATCTGCCTTGGAGATTCTCAGTCATCCAGGTCATGGTTGTCCCAAAGGTGCTTTTTCAAGAGGCAACTGGACTTTCGTTTTTCTCTTGGAACATTTTGGACAGAGAGGACTGCTGGTTTGAAAGAAGCTATCTAGGTCAAAGTTGGACAGCCCTCTCTCAGCAGAGGGGGAGAGATACAACATCATCTATCTACAACACGATCCTTTCAACAGTTCCAAGAAGGCTCCACACCCATTTGCACTACTCAGATGACCCTGAGGACACAGGTAAACCTCCAAGTGGCCTCAACGGCCCTCTAAAAGGATGCAATTGACCAGCTGTCTGCAAGGAATATAAATCCTTCCATTCCCTCACCATCCAGTCAGAGCTGAAGAAGCTTCTTGGATGAGAAGCGAAACGTCTTCAAAGAGAAACAAGAAAGTCCAGTTGCATCGTGACAAAAACACCTTTGGGTCTGCCTTGTTCTCAACATACTTTGGATTGTTTTTATGGTGAGCAGGTTCTCCTGCTTTCTTGGTCGCCTGGGGTACAGAGCTGGCCGAGGTAGAACCGCTGTGTGATGAAGGAACTCCCTCTTTTAGCTGATCTTGGCGGTGTTCAGAGCTTCTTCCCGGTTTTGATTCAAGGCGGCACAATTCCTTGGAAAACAAAAAAAAAAGGGCTACAGGTGATCCTCAATTTACAAGAGTTGATTCAGTGACCATTCAGTTACAAAAGCTCTGAGAAAAATGACTCATGACTCATGGTTACTTTATTGTATTCTATCTACATAGATAGTCCTTGATTTACAATAGTCCATTTAGTGACCTTCTAAAGTCACAATGACACTGAAACAAAGGAAACTTATGATTATTTTTCACACAAGCGTTGTAGCATCTCCAGGGTCACGTGATCAAAATTCAGACACTTGGCAACTGGCATGCACTTAGGACAGTTGCAGTGTCCCAGGGTTACGTAATCCCCTTTTGTGACCTTCTGACAAGCCAAGTCAATGGGGGAAGCCAGATTCACTGAACAACTGGGTTACTAATTTAACAACTGCAGGGATTCACTTAAAATGACTGAGGCAAGAAAGGTCGCAAAAAAAGGCGGCAAAATTCACTTCACAACTGTCTCGCTTAGTCATGGAAATTTGGGGTTCAATTGTGGTCGTAAAAAGAACTATCTGTCATCAGCAAGGGGATTTAAAAAGGCACAAGATGTCTCTAAGCCAGGACTCTTCAAACTTGGCTCTTTTATGACTTGTGGACTTCAACTCCCAGAATTCCTCAACCAGGCAAGCCTGGCTGAGGAATTCTGGGAGTTGAAGTCCACAAGTCACAAAAGAGCCAAGTGTGAAGACCCCTGATATAGACTTTAAGAGGAGTGGACTTCAACTCCCAGAATTCCTCAGCCAGGCACGCTGGCTGAGGAATTCTGGGAGTTGAAGTCCGCAAGTCATCAAAGGGCCAAGTTTGAAGACCCCTGGTCCAAACAAACGGTTCGCTCATTGATGTCCAAAGTACACCTTTAAAAAAAAAAACACCAAAAACTTTGCAAAGATCGATCAGATCAGAAAGGAAGGAATGCTTTTGATTTTTCCAAAGAGGCATAAACCGGAAAGCCACCCTACCTGTAAGCTTTTAACGGCGGTGTTTTTAGCAGTGGACCCATGCCCTTGAGGGCCTTTTGCGGCCGCAGCCTTGGTGGTGGAAGATGGGTCGTTCGCCGTTCTGCTCATGAGGCACAGCTTGGCGTTCCGGTTGACTTTCTTGGGCGACTTGGCTTTGTCTGCCACAGAAGAGCCCGCGTTCTTGGCTTCTGCCAGCTCTCGGTTTTTGGGGGTGAAAGACACGGTTATCCTGTTGCCGAAGACATCTTCATTCTCCATCCGCTTCTGGGCTCGCTCCGCGCTATCTTGACTGAGGAAACGGAGAATGGCACTGCTGCCGGAGACAGTCAGGACTTTCCCACCACAATTGTCCGACAGGCGCCGAAGTCTCAGGCAGACGCTTTTGCTATCTCGGTTGGTGGGCAGGTTGTAAACATATAACAGAGTGTGACACGCCTGTTTCAGAGAATTAAAAAAAAAAAGGGAGCTCGGATATGCTTCTCAAGAGGGCAGGGCAAAGCAACATAGCTGAACACTTGGACAATTTAAAATAGAAAGAATCCTCAGATCAATAAACCCGCAGAGACAAAAGACTCCTCGGGCCCAACCCGGATAGGCCTGTTCCGTAAGGATGATTCTTCTTCTTCTTCTAGTGCCATATCCGTTATCGGACACTGGCGATCGCGTTGGCGATCCTGTTTTTATCAGCAGCCGCACGAAAAAGTGCTGCTGAGTTTTGTCCAAACCAGTCCCTTAGATTTTGAAGCCAAATCCGTAAGGATTGCTTAAATTCATCAAAAGCTGTAGAAACTGAACCCTGATGTCTACAGACAGGGCAACTTCAGTTTCCATAATTCCCCAGCCAGGATGCTGATGGGAGAGTTCTGAGAGTTGAAGCCCACGCATTGTAGGTTGAAAAAGCGCCCTGCAGGCATGAAACGTTTTACAGGATTGCCGACAGTCAAAACGTGCTTCGTACTAAGGGACAACAGGTGCTTTAAACTGTTATCTGAATTGTGAAAGAGGCGAGTCACTCTCTAACAACAAATTCCAACAGTCTCAACTTACAACCAATTCGTTTAGTGAACTTTCGAAGTTACAATAGCCCCTGAATAAAGAGTTTATGACATTTTTTTTCCCACGTGACCGTCGCAGCACCCTCGTGGTAAAAATTGGGACAATTGGCAACTAGCACATATTTAAGAGGATCCTGGGATCCGGTGATCCCCTTTTGTGACCTGACAAGCAAAGTCAATAGGGAAGCCAGATTCGGTTAACAACCGTGTTACTAACTGAACAACTGAAGGACTTAACAACGATGTCAAGAAAGGCAAAACTTGCTCAACATCTGTTTTGCTTAGCAACCAAAATTTCTGGGTTCAACCGTGGTCATAAGCCGAGGACTACCTTTACTAGTCTACTTGTATTTCCAACTTTATTTCCACATTAATAACTGCAGCCGACAGGTAAAGCAGGAGGAATCCGTGGGACGGATTTAAGGATTTAAATGCCCGTCCGTCTCCCTGATGACATTTCAAAGCCTGACCAGTGATCAGCCACTTACTGTTTTCTTCAAGGGTAATCTTGGGGGCAAATCTGAAATAAATTCTTCAAATCGGATTAGCTTGTGGGCGTGGTGCAAGAGTGCTTCGGAAGCCTGGTTTTTATGAACCAGGATGATGTGGAAACCATGGCGGTGCCTCAAATCACTGAGTTCCAGGGCAAAGTTGACATCAGCTGGGGAAAAGAAAAAAAAAAGACAGCGCCCAAATCCCAAGTCAGTGGCTTTGGGAGGTTCTGATACTTGACACAAGCGTGCATTTTTCGTAAGCATCTGCTAGGGCAACTTCGGAGGGCAAAATACTGGGTTCAAACTTAAAACTGCTCCTTGCTGTGCCGCTGACTTCAACAAAACCAGGCAAACGTCATCGCAGAAAAGCAACTATTTAAAGCTAGATCGTTTCAAAGAGATAGGAGAAAAGAAAAAAAAAACCACCTGGTTGGTTCTCAAGCTTGAGTGGAGTTTATGCCGCAATGCAAATGCAGTGAGTATTTGTTAAGATTTTTTTTTATCCTGCCTTTATTATTTTATAAGTAACTGAAGGCAGTGAACATATATATTTCTCCTTCCTCCTCTTATTTTCCCCACAAGAGCTGTGAGATGGGTTGAGCTGTTGAGGTGGATTGGGCTGAGAACGAGGGACTAGCCTAAAGTCACTCAGCTGGTTTTCAATTCTAAGGCAGGACTAGAACTCCCAGGCTCCTGCTGATTGGCCCAAAGTCACCCAGCCAGCTTTCCTGCTTAAGGCGGGACTAGAACTCCCAGTCTACTAGCGATTGGTCCAAAGTCACCCAGCTGGCTTTCAATTCTAAGGCAGGGCTAGAACTCCCAGGCTCCTGCTGATTGGCCCAAAGTCACCCAGCCAGCTTTCCTGCTTAAGGCGGGACTAGAACTCCCAGTCTCCTACCAATTGGTCGAAAGTCACCAAGCTGGTTTTGATACCTAAGGCAGGACTAGAACTCCCTGGCTCCTGGTGATTGGCCCAAAGTCACCCAGCCAGCTTTCCTGCTTAAGGTGGGACTAGAACTCCCAGTCTCCTAGCGATTGGTCCAAAGTCACCCAGCTGGTTTTGATACCTAAGGCAGGACTAGAACTCCCAGGCTCCTGGTGATTGGCCCAAAGTCACCCAGCCAGCTTTCCTGCTTAAGGCGGGACTAGAACTCCCAGTCTCCTAGCCACTGGTCCAAAGTCACCCAGCTGGCTTTCATATCTAAGGCAGGACTAGAATTCCCAGTCTCCTGGCTTCTGGCCTGGAGCTTTAATCCATAAACCAAGCCGGCTCTCTTAATTGTGAAGCTCCCATTATTTAGGACTTTGAATGCAACTCAAGTAGATGGATTTCGAATCTGAGCAAGGATCAAAGTGACTCCCAAATGAAGCGCCGTCGATACGTACTTGAGACAAGCACCACGGTGGCTGGTGCAGCATGGGTATCTGCAAACCTCCTCAGGCTCTGCCGGAGTTTGTCGTCAGCGGCATTCTTGGCTGTGGCATTGATGTGTGCAACAGTCACCTAAAGGGGAAGGGGGTGGAGGAGAAAGGAAAATTACACTTCGAGAAAAGATTAAACACTGCAGGTCCAGAGTGGACGGATTCCCCCCAAATCTTTTGAGCGCGCACCTGGCAATTGTTCAGCTCCTCAATAACTTCCTTGTTTTCCTTACTAATGTCACACACGCAAATGAACTCGGCCTCTCGGTGGCCTTTAAAAAACTTTTCCCGGATGCGCTGGACCACCGCCACGGCGGAACGGCCAGACGGGACTGAACAGTTTTCGATATCCCAGAAGACCCCAATGGGAGGCAGGTTTTCCAGCAACTGGTTCGCGATGGCAATTTCTGGAGAGCCTGTGTTCGGAAGGAGAAAAGATCCAGCGCCTTAAAATAACTGCACTTCTCCCAGGAGCTCCATTTCCCAACTTTTGCAACTTTAAGGTGGGTGGGCTTCAAGTCCCAGAAATCCCCAGCGGACTGAGGAATTCTGAGAACCTTAAAAAAGTTGCCCAGGTTGGGACACACTGGATGAACTGGAAAGTTAAAGCGACGGTTAAACTTTAAAAGGATGAAGTCAAAGGATATGAATTACCGTGTTTGGGGGTCATCCGGCCAAAGCTACTGGCTAAGAGAAGGCTCTTCTCTTTCCTTGTTCCTTTGGTTCCACAGCCATTACACACTGGGAGAGAAAGGGGTGCCACCTGGGCACTGGGCGGAGGAATATCTGGCCACATTTTAGCGGCTTCTACTAGGTTTTCTTGGGACTGCGGAGGAAAAAAACACGCACCATTGCCTTAGCACGATGACACTGCACAGAAACCAACTTCTACCAGCAGTTCTAGCTCTCACAGAGGTATTCTTAAAAAAAGGCTTGCCCATTTGCCTGCAGGCGAATGTTTATTTCTTCAACGTTACAGGGGGCCCTCGACTTACATTCGTTTAGTGACAACAACCCCCCTCCCCAAAAGTGTCTCACCACAGTTTTTCATACTTATGACCTTTGCCTGCATACCCGTGGACAGGTGGTCAAAATTCAGACGCACGTTATTTAGGACGGCTGCAGCGTCCCGGGGTCATGTGATTTCCCCCTTCGCGACCAGATTCACTTAACAAACGTGTGTTACTAACTTAACAACTGCGTTGATCCAGTTCAAAAACAAACAAAAAGGAGAGGGAGTCAAGCTGTTCTCAAGAGCCCCTGAAGGCAGGACAAGAAGCAACGGATGGAAACTAATCAAGGAGAGAAGCAACCTAGAACTAAGGAGAAACTTCCTGACAGTTAGAACAATTAACCAGTGGAACAACCTGCCTCCAGAAGTTGTGGGTGCTCCATCACTGGAGGTTTGTAAGAAGAGATTGGACAGCCGTTTGTCCGAAATGGTGTAGGGTTTCCTGCCTGAGCAGGGGGTTGGACTAGATGACTTACAAGGTCCCTTCCAACTTTATTATATTATTATTATTATTATTATTATTATTATTATTATTATTATTATTATTATTATTATTATTATTATTATTATTATTATTATTATTATCATCATCATCATCATCATCACTACTACTACTACTGTTGTTGTTGTTATATTATTATTATTATTATTATTAATTATTATTATTACAACTCATTTGGCAACTGTCTTGCTTAGCAATGGAAATTTTGGGCTCAAAAGTCGAGGGTTACCTGTAACGGCCCACCTGGGGCAGCCATTTTGAAAAGCCTGGACGTACCTTGGACAGGTGCTCAGACCAGGCTGGCCCTCGGACCAAAGCACCCGCCTGGCCTCTAGAAGCCGACTGACCTTCCCAAATCACGTGAATGGATTAAAAAGAGGAAGTACGAACCTTGCTTAAACACTCCGTGCAGTGGTGAGAGCCCTTTAAGCAAAGGGGAGGTGAAACCTTTAAGTGCAACGCGTTGGTGCAAACGCAAGACATTCGCTCCGGCTGGGCCAGGTGTTCCTCGGAGGGGCCCGCCGCCCCACTGAATTCAGAGCAGGAAAAGTAGCCAGGTGCCGTGCAGCCCGGATGGGGGGGAAACGGACGCATTTTGTGCAGGTTACCGTGACAGGCTTGGAAGTGGACTTTCCCGCAGCAGGAAAAGTGGGGGCACGCAGGGACCGGGTTTTCCCGGCACAGGCCAGCCATGTTGCTTCTCGCGGGGCCGTTCTTGAGCGAAGAGGAGGACCGGCAAGCCAACTCTGAGCCTATCTGCCAAGTGATTGTCCCAGTGCCGGGGGCGCTTAAGACCGTGCCAGGGTGAATCAAGCTGCCGCCGCTGCCGCCGCTGCTGTTGCCACCACCACCGCCACCACCGATGTTGCCGCCGCCGTTGCCGCCACCACCAAAGTGCAACTGAGGAACCCGTGGGGAGGAGTCAGAGCCATGAGAACAGCAGCTTACTTTAGGGTTGAGGGAAAGCTGGATCTGCTTTGGCTGGAGAGAGTGGACGTCGGGGAGGGGAAGGGCCGCGAACGGCTGCAGAGGAACGTGGCGAGCCGAGGGGGCCTCCTTCAACTCTGCAGCACCTCTCCTGCTCTCCATGGGCTTGTTCTGAGGGGAGAGAGAGAGCGAGAGAGGGAGAGAGAGAGAGAGAGAGAGGGAGAGAGAGAGAGAGAGAGAGAGAAGTGACAAACGGAGGCCAGGTTAGCTTGCTGAAGATTTGCAAAAAGGATTTCAGACTGGAAAACTTCAAGCTCGCTAGAAGCGCAGGTAGTCCTTGACTTATGACCAGCTGTTTAGCGACCGTTTGAAGCTACGCCACCCACCCAAAAAGGTACTTACGACCTGGATTCATAGTTCTGACGGCCAGGCTCTTCCTGTGGTTATGTGATCATAATTTTGGGCACTTGGCCATGGCTGTCTGCAGCACCTCAGTCACATGATCACGGGCTCTATGGGCTTTTTTTTTTTTTTTTTTTNCCAGAAACCGGTGTTTGCTTCCAGTTTCTGGCAAAACGCAGCCATCATAGACAATGGGTTCGCTTAACAAACGTGGGTTCGCTTTAACAACCACGGCGATTCCTTTAACCACGACCACACAAAAAATAATAATCATGCAATCAGGCGGGTCACATGATGACCTGCTTAACAACCAGCGCAACTTATGACTGTAATTCCAGGCTGAATCAAGGACGACCCGTATTCCATGTCTGAAGGGCTCCGGGACCCTAAGGGTGGAAGGAGCCATTTGGGAACTTTGCTCTGTTTCACAAAAATTTATAATGTAAAACAATTCCTATTCATTTTGAAGCATCTTTGGCTTTAATGCTTTTGCTGAAGCAGAACAGCAGGCAAGAGAAGTATGGTGCAAACAATAGCTATAGATGACAAACCCTGCAGGGCGCAAGGCACTGTCCCAGAAGCAGGCGCCATTTTTGAAGTGGCCACGATTCATTGCAGTCACTCCCAAAATGGTGCCTCTTTCCAAGATGGAACTAGACAGCCTAGGGATGTAGTAGTCTGTTCTCCTTCCCCAATGTGAACTCCAGAGATCTACAGAAGGTAAGTATATGATCGCTGAGGAAGCTGGTGTGTGTGTGTGTTGAGGAGGGAATGGGAAGCAAGCCCAAGGTCTGAGGGGACCCTGATGGGTGAGGATGGGTGAGAGATAGATGGAGGAAGCCAGGGTGAATTTGCCCAAATTTTGTTCACGTACGGGATGCTACAATGGTTTTAACTTCAAAACCAGGTCATAAGTAGTGTTTTTTTTTTTGAGGGGGGTCTATTTTAACTCTGGCCACTAAGCAACTGGTTGCAAGTTGAGGACTACTTGCGCATCAATTTAGCATTTCACTTAATAAACATTTAAGTCCATACTCTACCGTTTTTGCAGCGAGGGGAAAATTCTGTTCAGTAATTGAAAAGCAGTTAGAAAACTTCCAGAGCCAGGGCTTCGCATCGTTATCTTGCAGCTGAAGCCATCCAAGTGATCTAGGACAGACGTTCTGCGCTATTTTTCCTTCCATTATATGTCCAAACAGAAGTCAACATTCTCTCCTCTTTCCTTTCTTTCATTCTAACTGCGACAAACGTGCAGATTGCACAAGGTCAGATTACATGCCACCGAAATGCCTAGTTATTCAACATGCCCGACGCATTTATATCATCTTTTTGAGCGGCTAAGCAAAAGGCAGAATTCTTTAAAAACAAAAAAACAATAAGCAATATTGATTTTCAGAAATCATGCGGGTGTGCAGAAGGGAAAAAGGGATTCAGCAAAGGAACAGCCACCGAAGAAATTAAAACTGGTACTTTTCCCCCCCTTTTTTTCTACAGTTTGTAGAAAAATATTTTATTAGATGATAGAATAAAATACAACAATACAAAAGCAACTAGGGAGGAAAAAGGGGGGGAAAGTGAGGGGGAGAAGGGAAAATGAACAGGCGCCCTCTGTTGCAGTAGAACAGGGGTCTTCAAACTTGGCCCTTTGATGACTTGTTGAAGTCCATAAGTCATAAAAAGGGCCACGTTTGAAGTCCACAAGTCATCAAAGGGCCAAGTTTGAAGACCCCTGATATAGACTTTAAGAGGAATGGACTTCAACTCCCAGAATTCCTCAGCCAGGCACGCTGGCTGAGGAATTCTGGGAGTTGAAGTCCACAAGTCATCAAAGGGCCAAGTTTGAAGACCCCTGATATAGACTTTAAGAGGACTGGACTTCAACTCCCAGAATTCCTCAGCCAGACACGCTGGCTGAGGAATTCTGGGAGTTGAAGTCCACAAGTCATCAAAGGGCCAACTTTGAAGACCCCCTGCAGTAGGAAGGAAGCATTAACCTTGAACCTCAACTTTTTACTTTCCCATAATATTACCAACTAGCCATTTCTACAACAAATGGATCTAACCAGTAAAGCCCAAATTCCCCCCTCCCCGCTTTTTTTTTTTTTTTAAAAAAGCCATCAACTTTTTGACACCTGGCTAATTACTACTGGTGCTCACAATATTGTCACGTCCTAAAAGTGGTGCAATCCGCGCAGAGGTGGAAAAGCCCTGATCTTAGGGCACCCCCTGCAATACTCTCCCCCCACCCAGGTTACCTTTAGGGGGGGGCACCCCAGAAAGGCTTCCGAGCCCCTGGCAGGGACGCCCACAGCAGAGCTGGGACCCGCCTGGAGAGCAAATATTGACTCAGCCCGGGCTTGCAAGGGCGGCGGGCCGGCGGGCGGTCGGGCAGGCAGGGGCGGCGTCCGCAGAGCAAAGTCCAGCACTCCCGTGGAGGAACCACCGCCTTCCTGCCTTCCTGGGCGGGCTCGTCTCCCCGGACCGGCGCTGCAGCCCAGCCCACCTTGGGCGAGCCCCTTCCCCACTCTCCTCCCGCGGCGGGGCTCACCCCCGACCCTGAAGCAGGCCGGCTGCAACCCCGGCGGCTGCAATCCCGGCAGGAAGGCGTGTCGGGTCGTGTGAATGCGCGCCGAGGAGCCACTCACCGCCCTCCGTCGCATCCCAGCACCCGCCGCCGCCGCCGCCGCCTCTTCTTTGTTTTGCTCCCGCTGTGCCCTCCCCCTCCCTCCCCCGCGCGCTTCCGCTTCCGCGGCGACAAGCGGCGCTTCCGGCCGCCGAGGAAGGAAGAGAGAGAGAGAGCGCTGTCGTAAAAGCGTCGCGAAGGTTTGTTGTTTTTCCCCCCCCCCGCATCCCGTCTAGCCGCGGCTCTCGTTGGTCCTGGGAGGTGGGGTCGCCTCTACCCTGGGAAAGAGGCGAGGGGGCCTCTCTGGGCCCAGATGGAGTGGGACTCCAGGTCCCAGTATTCCCAGCCAGTGTGTGGGGGGGTGGGGTGCGGGGGGGTGCGGGGTGGGGAGTGGTTGGAGTCCTGAATGGCTCCTTGTAGTTTTCTAAGCAACGATATAAAATGTTTGGTCATTACATTCCTTCCTCTGATTTTATTATCGTTTTTATCTTGCCTTTGCATACGTACATATACGTATACCCACATACAGATGTATAAATACATATGTATATGTGTATATATATATAGTATTGCTATATAATTCTTCATATAAATTGTTGTTGTTAGTTGCAAAGTCGACCCATCGTGACCCCATGGACAACGTTCCTCCAGGCCTTCCTGTCCTCTGCCATCTTCTGGAGTCCATTTAAGCTCAGGCCTTAGTATAGTATATATATATATATATATACTATATATATATACTAAGGCAGCGGTTCTCAACCTATGGGTCGCGACCCCATTTGGGGTCGATCGACCATTTCACGGGGGTCGCCAAGCAAGACTGTCCGCCATTTTTTTTTCCCCTTTTCCTGCGGGTGCCTTACCTCCCTTGGGCTGGGCCAGCTGGTGGTCGGCCTGCTCCGTCTCTGCCGCTTGCCAGCTACGCCTCGGCCGGCGCAGGGGGCGGAACCACGCACGCGCGGCGCTCCTGGTCAGGGAAAGTCCTCGACTTATGACCGGTTGGGTAGTCCTCGACTTACGACCGGTTTAGTCCTTGACTTACGACCGGTTGGGGGTCGCGGCATTAAAAAGGTTGAGAACCACTGTACTAAGGCCTGAGCTTATATATACTATTTAATATATAAGTATTTTTATAATATATTTATATATAATATTAAAAGGAAGCCATATGTTTCCTCTAACTGTGTGTGTGTTTGTATGTGTATATGTGTATATATGTATAAGGAGCTTGAAATAGCTATACCAGCTTCCCTTTAACTGTTAGCAGTCCAAATTTAACATACTTATATGCACACATATATATATATATTATATATATATGTGTTTGTGTGTATATGTATATATATATATGTGTATATGCATATATGTATGTATATATGTATATATATGTATATATTTGTATTTATGTGTGTATGTGTAATATGTATATGTATGTGTGTGTATATATGTATATATATATATGTATATATATATATATATATATATATATATGAAACATGGTTTCCTTTTTATAATATTAACATTCTGTCCTTTTATTCTATATTATTTATATTCTATTAAATGGGCACACACATATATCAGCAATAAAACAACTGCAACCATTTCACATTTTAATTCTGCTTTTTATTTAACTATTCTGCTTTTTATTTAACTATTTTGTTTTTGGTTCTAAAGTCCTATAGCAAGTCAGAGATTCCTCAGAGATTTTTTTCCCAGGGCGTGTTTAAGTATGTTCTATGCGGGGGGGTGGTGGTTTAAAAGTTTCCAGAAGAGTGGATTTTTGTATCATCTGAAAATGGGAAGATTCCGAAGAATAGGCTGTTGTACAGAACACAAAGCGGAAAGATGATTTCAGCCACCAAGGCCCTTCCAATTCAACATGATTTATCTCAGACATGGTTGAATATAAACGGAACCTTATTTGGTCATTAGGAGCAGCAGGAAAAGAAANGCACCTCAGTCACATGATCACGGGCTCTATGGGCTTTTTTTTTTTTTTTTTTTGCCAGAAACCGGTGTTTGCTTCCAGTTTCTGGCAAAACGCAGCCATCATAGACAATGGGTTCGCTTAACAAACGTGGGTTCGCTTTAACAACCACGGCGATTCCTTTAACCACGACCACACAAAAAATAATAATCATGCAATCAGGTGGGTCACATGATGACCTGCTTAACAACCAGCGCAACTTATGACTGTAATTCCAGGCTGAATCAAGGACGACCCGTATTCCATGTCTGAAGGGCTCCGGGACCCTAAGGGTGGAAGGAGCCATTTGGGAACTTTGCTCTGTTTCACAAAAATTTATAACGTAAAACAATTCCTATTCATTTTGAAGCATCTTTGGCTTTAATGCTTTTGCTGAAGCAGAACAGCAGGCAAGAGAAGTATGGTGCAAACAATAGCTATAGATGACAAACCCTGCAGGGCGCAAGGCACTGTCCCAGAAGCAGGCGCCATTTTTGAAGTGGCCACGATTCATTGCAGTCACTCCCAAAATGGTGCCCCTTTCCAAGATGGAACTAGACAGCCTAGGGATGTAGTAGTCTGTTCTCCTTCCCCAATGTGAACTCCAGAGATCTACAGAAGGTAAGTATATGATCGCTGAGGAAGCTGGTGTGTGTGTGTGTTGAGGAGGGAATGGGAAGCAAGCCCAAGGTCTGAGGGGACCCTGATGGGTGAGGATGGGTGAGAGATAGATGGAGGAAGCCAGGGTGAATTTGCCCAAATTTTGTTCACGTACGGGATGCTACAATGGTTTTAACTTCAAAACCAGGTCATAAGTAGTGTTTTTTTTTTTGAGGGGGGTCTATTTTAACTCTGGCCACTAAGCAACCGGTTGCAAGTTGAGGACTACTTGCGCATCAATTTAGCATTTCACTTAATAAACATTTAAGTCCATACTCTACCGTTTTTGCAGCGAGGGGAAAATTCTGTTCAGTAATTGAAAAGCAGTTAGAAAACTTCCAGAGCCAGGGCTTCGCATCGTTATCTTGCAGCTGAAGCCATCCAAGTGATCTAGGACAGACGTTCTGCGCTATTTTTCCTTCCATTATATGTCCAAACAGAAGTCAACATTCTCTCCTCTTTCCTTTCTTTCATTCTAACTGCGAAAAACGTGCAGATTGCACAAGGTCAGATTACATGCCATCGAAATGCCTAGTTATTCAACATGCCCGACGCATTTATATCACCTTTTTGAGCGGCTAAGCAAAAGGCAGAATTCTTTAAAAACAAAAAAAACAATAACCAATATTGATTTTCAGAAATCATGCGGGTGTGCAGAAGGGAAAAAGGGATTCAGCAAAGGAACAGCCACCGAAGAAATTAAAACTGGTACTTCCCCCCCCCCTTTTTTTCTACAGTTTGTAGAAAAATATTTTATTAGATGATAGAATAAAATACAACAATACAAAAGCAACTAGGGAGGAAAAAGGGGGGGAAAGTGAGGGGGAGAAGGGAAAATGAACAGGCGTCCTCTGTTGCAGTAGAACAGGGGTCTTCAAACTTGGCCCTTTGATGACTTGTTGAAGTCCATAAGTCATAAAAAGGGCCATGTTTGA